TCCGCAAAAGGAATACAGCCAAGCCCTGAATCCATAAAGGTTATGCGAAATATGCCACCACCGACTGACAAGCATGGCGTACAACGCATGCTAGGCGTGGTGAATTATTTTTCCAAGATCGTCCCAGCACTAGCTGAGAAGACCCTGCAAATGCGACAGCTAGTGAAAAAAGATGCCGCGTTCGAATGAAATGCTAATCACGCCAAGGAATGGGAACAACTCTGCGCCTGTTTGAGCAAGAAGCCGGTGCTTGCAATTTTCAATCCTGAGCGAGACACAAAGATAACGTCCGATGCATCGCAGAATGGCATAGGTTCCGCGCTAATGCAATAAGTTGGTCACCTGCAATAAGTTCTCATAAAACATGATAAGTTCTCTGTCGTCTGGCTTTCCCGATGCCGTGACTTTCACCGCTGAGCAGCGTAATGACCCAAGCTTGAAATCTCCTTTCCCTGGAGCGAGAAATTCATTAAGCAAAGGCCGACTCTGCGTCCGAAGTGGCCTTCTTTACCAGAGAAACTTGTCCACGACGGGCGCCCGCTTTCTGCTAGTTGTTCCTGCGTCTCTCCAAACGTCTGTTCTGCGTCTCACGCATGATGACCCCACCTCTGGCCATCTAGGCACCGCACGAACACTTAGTTGCACGAAAGAGCGGTTCTATTGGCCGAAAATGAGCAAGACAATCGAGAACTACGTGGCCAGCTGTACGCAGTGCCAGAGCCACAAGCGGCCCTCCTCGGGTCCAGTTGGTCACCTGCAACCTGTAAAGCCTCCCGATTCCCCTTTTGAAAAGGTCGGCATTGATCTGATGGGACCATTTCCACGCTCCTGAAAAGGTAACCGGTGGATAATTGTATGCGCCGACTACCTGACGCGGTACTGCGAGACGGCTGCCTTATGCTCCGCCACGGCAGTCCAGGTTTCGGAGTTCCTGTTGAATTCAGTCATCCTCCGACACGGACCTCCTCGCGTGATAATAAGTGACCGTGGACGACAATTTACTGCTGATATTGTCGAATCATTACTTCATTTGTGTGGTTCCAAGTTCCGACACTCAACTGCATATCATCCACAAACTAACGGCTTCACCGAGCGCACAAACCGAACGTTGATCAACATGTTGTCAATGTACGTCGCCTCCAACCACAAAAACTGGGATGAAGTTTTACCATTCGTCACGTACGCTTTCAGCACGTCGAAACACGAAACGACAGGCTACAGCCCTTTCTACCTGCTCTACGCTCGCTCACCTCGACATACGCTGGACACTATCTTTCCTTTTGTCGTCCATGACGATTTAACAATTGCGGAAACTTTGTGTCGTGCGGAAGAGACACGTCGACTTGCCTGCCTACGTACACTGGCAGCGCAAGAGTCCTCCAAAACTCGCTACGACAGTCAACACAGGCATGTAACCTATGCCCCCGGTGATCTAGTGTGGGTGTGGACCCCAATACACAGACGTGGCTTGAGCCAAAAGCTACTGGCACACTACGCCGGTCTTTTCGTGATACTTCATCGTCTCAGCGAGGTCAACTATAAAATCGCACGTGTCACCACTAGTGACCGACGTTCATGCAAGACAGAGGTGACGTATGTTGCCCGCCTGAAGCCGTTTACACAAAGAATGCAAGAATGACTCGCCCAGTGGGCTTCGACTGAGACCGGAGGAATGGTAAGAAGTATCACTACCAGGAAATACAAGGGAAGCGCGGGTAGAGAATGAAGACAACGTTGTCTCCACTGCGATCCCTCTGAGTGGGTATGAGCCATGGCGGTGGAGATCATCATCATTATACGGTGATTGCGGACTCAGAGCCCATTAAAAACCCCCATTAATTTACCTTGCCTTGTGTAACAATATAATCTGAGAGTCATATTGAGAATAAGGTTGTTAGCATGTTGATCACTAGTGATGTATTTGATTTGGCTAGTGATATACCATAAATGTAAAATTAGTTGAATAAATGTACACAATGTTTTGGTCTGCCCGACTATGTCTACTAATCTCTGTGTGTTTCGAGAGTGCTGTTTTCATTTCAGAACCCCCACAAGTGCTCACTTGTTCACAATGCTGATAGTTTTTTCGAGTCACCACAACACATAACAAAACCCTGTACAGCTTCCCTGTAAAATAATGCAATCACTACAGACCAAACAGCCCCCATGCTGTCACTAGGCTTACTAAGCCTAACACGGAGCACATGAATTGCACTGATTTCTGTCTAACTCGTACAGTTTATGCTAGCTTAAATGTAACAAAAAAAACAGCTGATAGCTTTTGCTAAGTTATTGTAGTGCAAGAAAGAAATTAATTCACTCGAAATCTTTTTTGGTCTAAATTAGGCCACAAAAAGACACAAAAACTGAAATGTGCGAACAAAGTATGAAAAAGAGCACTGACGCTGCTTGTGTGCTCAGAAAATGTCATAAAACTTCATGAGTAATGTTGCAACGTGTTCATGAGATAATGTTAGTGGCTTGGGTATGGTAATGCAAATTCTCTTAAGGAGCCAGCACCACAAATGAGAAAAAAAGAAGGGAGGCGTATATGTCCCACTGTTCAACAAAAGTTAAAAAGGCTAGGCTAATCCCACTCTTTTTACAGAGGACAGGCATTTTTCTTCTTCAATAATTACAGCCGAGCCTGCTTATAGTGAACCTAAGCCTGATGCCACATCCGTTAATTTGCTGTATCCCGAAGTTCGTAGCAAATCAAAATAAGCTTTTGAAAAAGTTGCGAGTAAAACACAAACTTTTTTGCCCAAGAAGTCTGTGATGCACGTGTTTCGAAACGAGCAGAAGCAATAAGGGCGGTCTTGAGTTCATTTAAAACGGCAGGGTGCTCGTTCACTGAGGCCCGTAGCATAAGCTGCACGAGGCACTGGCTTCAAAGTATCATCGTTCTCGCAATCCGATTCCTCCGAATCGCTCTCGCCATGTACTTCATTCACAAAGCCCTAATCCGTGCACGGTTTCACAGTGTCGGTATCATCATCGGCTGTAATTGCACCATAGCAACAAATGTCCCCCTCGCTCTCCCTGGTCGGAGTTGACGACACGTTGCCATAAATTGCTGCCGCTGTTAGGAAGCTTCAGGCTCGGCATCGAGCCCGATGTCGACAGAGTCGGCCTTGCGAAAACAGTTTCACGCGCATAGAAATATTCACCATCTCCACAGCTAAATACTGGGACCCCGGAAGCGGCAAGTTGGCTGCCAGGCTGTCAGGTGGTCAACAGCTATGAGCAAGCGCTCCGGAATGCGACACCTAACACGCGGATTACGCTCAAGCCAAGCGGTCACACTTTCGGCGTTTTGTTGAGCGGCAGGAAAAAGCGTGCAAGTCCTCTGATCTGCCATCCTAACCACACACGCACACCAAGATCGAGCAAGACGCGCACACGCGACACGCATTCCAGAACGCGTGGAACAGCTCTGGGCCCGTTTCTAGTCAGAAAACCAAACTAATTTGAGCCAGCCTGGCTGGCATCGCAGAGCGGTAGAGACGGGCGAAGGGGTTATGATCAAGAGAGGAGATCAGATTTGCGAAAGAAGAAGGGCAAGAAGTTGCGATAGAGAGGGGAGAATGCGGCGGGAGGGCGACCTTGAAAACCAAAACACATGGACAGGCACTGCGCCATTTTCCCTACTGGGCTGCATAAATTATGTGCCTTTTTCCTCTTCTAACCACTACCACCACCACCACACACGGGAAGGAGGCAGGTTGGGTAGCTTGCTAGAAAGGTCGACGCCACTCGCTCACTGGATTTCGTGCCGACCGGTTGTGCCCCCGCGATCTCCGATGACAGCGCAGCTCTGGCAGACCTGGGCTCGCCCTACGCCATCTCCTGATGCTGACAAGAGCTCTCGCGAAGTGGTGCCCCGTCCTCGGACTCCTGCGATCGTGTCCATCTTTCCTATCTCCTCTTTACTTCCATCATTTTCTGTTGTTCGGTGTCCCTGCGCCTCGCTCTCTCCTTCCTCTCTATCTCTTTACGTTCTAATCCTTTTCTTACAATCCTTCCTTTACCCCCACCTCTCATGAGCTACTGTTGAGCTGTCCTCCCCCTGAGAAACAGTTAGGGCCTCACTTTTATTTTCATTTAAAATCACTCACTCACAATGACACTAGAAAGGTCCATGAAACGTGCAACTCACCCGTAGAAAAACTTGAAACAGTTTTTGAACTTGAATCTCGCGCTGGCGAGTTCGCGTGGTATATAGGTGTTCTGTGGCCTCACCAACATCGATATTTCACGATTCGTTCTGCGCAAATCAACAGCCGTTATCGCGCTTGCGCACATGTGTGGAGGACATGCTGAGCAGAGTGCGAAGTGAGCAAGAACAAGTCCTAAACGGGAAATTAATTGCAAATTATCAGAGTCGGTGGGGTAGCGTACGTGCGTGCACTAGGCGCAGACGATCAGATACAGTCAGTAGCCGACGATGCTGGCAAATGGTCTGGTCACTCCAGGCCGGCGACACTAAAGACAATACCAGCGATCAAAAGCAGGGTAGATGGCCGACCAGTCTTCGAAAGATCGGTGGCAGTGTGAAAACACGGGCCTCGTTTGGTGATGCGGGGTGCTCAGTGTAGCAGGGGGACAAAGGACAGCGATCGGGGAGAGCAGCAAATAGAGGAGCGTGGAGGCAGGGTCGGCGTTTAACAATAAGAATGTAGGGGCACCTCGCCGATGCCTGATCCGTGATCAAAAGTGGTTTCCCGGGAAGTCAGCAGAGCACCGACTCTGTTCGCTGTAACTGATTAGCGGAGCTCGGAGATGTTTGTTGAAGGTGCGATTCTGTGCCATTGAACCAATGCATGTTTTCACGGTCACGCGGGGCCGTTATATGTGGGCTCGACTGTATTACTGCAATAGGCTACAAGTGAAACAACAGCTTTCAGGAAAAGCATAGGCAATTAGACAACGCCTGTGTTGAGAGCAGATGAGACACCAAAAAACTGAACTCTGTGGAAGGTACGAGTGTGAGTATTCACCTGAAGGTTGTAGATGATCCTGGCATCGTAGACAATGGCTGCACCCCTTCGCCTCAACTGTTTCGAAAGCTGCATCGTCTTGGAGGCTGTAGATGCCTGATACAGGGTCAACTTCACATCGAAGATCCAGCTGCCCTTATTCTCATTGTAAGTTGTTTCCAGTGGTGTCCAGTTCGAGTTCTGCATAGTTATGCTGTTTTCAGCAGGCGACATGATAGAACACTGAAAGGCTCGTGCATCGTATGAACCGTGATACGGCAATACAGTATTAAAGCAAGTGATTCAATTAGTTGAAGTGCATGACCAAATGCAAAGAAGTTACATGAAGTCCTTACTAAAGCATTAATGTGTAAAATGCACAGAACAATTTTTTTCCTTTCAATGATGTTGGTATCAAATCATGTTGACATTGGAGCTTTCAGAGTCTGAACCACTGAACATATTAAATTTTAGAAACACTTGGGGTAGTCATGAATTTGAGAACATTAATAACACCATAACCATGAGTGTGCATCACAGCACATTTGTGATTAACCCATGACATTAGCATCAATCAGAATAATCTAACATGTCATATTAGTGGCTCCTTTTTGATTAATTATATATTATATATCTGCCCATGCCATAAATAAACTAAGTGGCTCCGGTATATTTAGGATAGAGCAATGCATCAATACAGCTGAACCTTTTCATAAGATACACACACTGGGGAGTTGTTCTTGTTCTTCATATTGCCGCATGTTGTTAGACACCCGCTGAAGTCTTGTGCCGCTTCCTTCCCTTATGAATTCAGCCACACCAACTGGCAAGCAAAATGCGGCAATCTAAACTTACCATGCAACACTGACTGCACGTGTCACCACACCACGAACTGGTAAAAAAAGGCTGGCAGTTTTTTAAAGGAGCAGCACGTGACGAGACGCTAAAAGAAGTTCATGAGGTTTTTCACTAGGGAGCTCAGGACAACCTCTATGGATTTAATTTATGGGCACAAGTTCGCCCAAAATAAATAGTTGCTTTATCTTTCGGCATTGCATCTGGTAAAAGAAGGCTGGCAGTTTTTTAAAGGAGCAGCACGTGATGAGAGGATAAAAGAAGCTCATGAGGTTTTTCACTAGCGAGCTCAGGACAACCTCTATGGATTTAATTTATGGGCACAAGTTCGCCCAAAATAAATAGTTGCTTTATCTTTCGGCATCGCATTTGTTCATTATAAACTGGTGGAGGTGCGGGATATGATTCCAAGCCTATGTCAGGTTAGGGAAGATAGCCCCGAACCCCAAAGGTTGGAGCCAGCTCAGTTGACTCCCATACACCACTGCACAAGTCGCCGCCTACGAGGTGAGCAGCCCGAGTTTGGTGTCCTCTTCAAATCTTCGAGACCAGTGGAGACCCTAGGTTCCGGAGCCCCTGCAATGGCCGCTCAAGCAACTTTATTTCCATCTCACATTGTCATGGACTCGCCCCGAATACCAGAGGTCTTCCACGGCAATATTTTTGAGGATTCCGAGGACTGGCTTGACAGTTTTTGAACACGTCCCCAGACTGAATGGTTGAGACGAAGCCAGAAAACTTCATTAAGTCTATGTGGCACTGCAAGATTCTGCATGTACATGGTTCCAGAAGCACGAAGCGTCCTTGTTGTCGAGGGACAACTTTCGAAGGGAGTTCTTTGCTATATACCCAAACACGGACCGCAAAGAAAATGCAGAGGCCGCTATTGAGATGTGAAACCAACGGAAAAACGAGAGCCGTTGCCATGTAGATTGAAGACATGTCCCGACCGTTTTGCCTGGCAGATTCGAACATGGCTGAGGAAAAGAATTTGCGGCACCTGATGCGTGGAATGAAGGAGGAGCTTTTTGCAGGCCTGATGCGTAATCCACCCCGCTCTATTGCTGAGTTCAGAACAGAGGGGACAATGATAGAAAAGACCCTGCAGGAGCACGCACGCCAGCAGAACAGGAACGTAAGCATTTCATCTGTTAGCGCGGTGTCGACAAGCCTCACGAGCAACATTGACCTCCTGCTTGAAATGGTGATGGCTCTCGTAAGGGAAGAGCTACAGAAAATACAAATGACCCAACGTCATCCCGCAATGCCGACGTTGTGCGTGAAAGAGTGCGGCAAGTGATTCTTCAATCACAACCTCAGATACTACAGTGCGCACAGCCGGAGCCTCCGTCTCACTTGTCGTATGCGCAAATTGTATGACAAGACCTCGGATGCGTGAACTGGATGGCTACGACTGCTGTGATGCCTCCGACATTTTCTCCGAGTACGCCACTACCCATGCTGGAAGCAAGACCATGTAAGAGCGATGTATGGTACACTGTAGACCGGTGGCCCCTCTGCTACCGCTGCAGAGAAGCAGGTCACCTTCACAGGGCGTGCCACTATCGTCGAGCGGCACTGCGTAGTTTTTCTGTCAATGCACCGTGCCCGCGGAACGGTGAACTGCCCTTCAAAATAGAAGAGTATTTGTCTTCATGCTATTCACCTCAAGACATGCAACAACGGGAGTCACGTTCTACAGCACCGGTGCCCCATCGGTGACCGAGTCCTCGTCCGTCATCAAATCTTCGAAGACCACATTTATCTAGCCCGCGGCGAGAAAACTAGAGCCAGCGACCTCTGAAGGTGAGGCCACTGATATACTGAAAACTGAAGACCCTCCATTGTAAGCCCGGCAGTTACGGGACGACGGACAAGTGCAGTAGTAGCGACGTTAACTCCAGGATATCACTCATGATCGACGATGTCGAGGCCACTGCGCTAATAAACACTGGTGCAGACCAGTGTTTATTAGTTGTCAGTAATGCTCTCACAAAGAAGCTGAAGAAGGTGATGACTGAATTGGCCGGACCTGAGATACGTACTGCTGGAGGGCACTTAGCCCTGTGGGATTATGCACCGCAAGGATAGGAATAAGAGGATCCATGTATGTCGGCAGCTTTATTGCACTTCCCCAATGCTCCCGTGAGCTGATTATAGGCATGGACTCCTTGCAAACAAACAATGCAGTCATTGACTTGCAAGAATCCCAGGTTTTGTTTTCTTTGGAGAATGCCCTCGCCATCTGTTATATGGAGAAACCAATCGTTCTACCTCTCTGCATTGTGGATGGAGATGTGGCCGTGCTGCCACGTTCCAGTGTGATGGTTCTTGTGAGGCATGAAGTTCTCCGTGACTGTGACAGATTAGCGGACGGAAACATCGGACTGGTACTAGAAAAAGGACTATGCGTGGCAAGAGGCTTGGTGAGCCTTCATGATGAATATGCGTATGTCCTATTAACTAACATTGGAAATGAGCTGCAGCATGTCACGAAAGGAACATCTGTAGCATGCTGCATGATTATGTGCAAGTCTCAGATGTTTGCACTCTTGATAAAGCTTCGAAGACAGTAGATAATGTACTCCAATCAGTAGAGATTGACAGATAGCACTCGTCATCTCAGAAACAACAGACTGCTGACTTCACCAGAGAGTTCGCCGAGTGCTTCTCCACTTCGTCGAAAGTCGGACGTACCCCCGTCGCAAAGCACCGCATCATGGTCGAAGAGCACGTGAGACCTGTGCATCACCGCCAAAATAAAGAGAAGGCATCAAGAACTAAGTGCAGGAAATGCTCAACGATGACGTGATTCAGCCATCCAACAGTCCGTGGGCGGTAGTGCTGGTCAAAAAAAAAGGACAACTCTCAGCGATTTTGCGTTGACTACAGAAAGCTGAACCAAGTCACACAGCGTGATGTTTACCCACTTCCGCGGATTGATGATGCCTTGGTTAAGTTTACAATGCTCGCTTCTTTTCATCATTGGACTTAAAGAATGGATATTGGCAGACCGAGGTGACTGAACGAGATCGTGAGAAGACGGCGTTTGTGACCCCAGACGGACTATACAAGTTCAAAGTGCTCCCTTTCGGTTTGTGCTATGCTCTCGTTGCCGTCTAGAGGATGATGGACACTGTACGTGCTCTCCGGGCTCAAGTGGCAATCGTGTCTCGTCTACATCGACTATGTAGTGGTTTTTTCTTCTACTTTCGAGTAGCACATCCACCGACTGAGAAAGGTACTGGATGCCATTCGCATGGCAGCACTGATCATCAAACCGGAAAAGTGTCACTTCGGATTTTGTCAGCTTTGGTTCCTCGGGCACATCGTTAGTGTGGAAGGCGTTCACCCAGACCCGGAAAAGATTGCAGCAGTTGAAAATTTTCCCAAACCAAAAGACAAAAAGGCCATCAAACAGTTCCTGGGACACTGTGCCTACTACAGACACTTCGTCGAAAGCTTTGCTAAGGTCGCTGAGCCTTTCACACGGCTAACATAAGAAAGTGCACCATTCGCTTGGTGGGGAGAACAAGAAGCAGTTTTCTCAGAGTTGCAACGCTGTTTGCAGTCTCCTCCAATACTTAACCATTTTGATGAAGATGCCGACACAGACATACATACCGACGCGAGTAACGTTGGTCTCAGTGCCATTGTTATTCAGTGGCAGAATGGAGAAGAAAACGTTCACACTTACGCGAGCCACACTCTATCAAATGCTGAGTCCAATTACTTAGCGACAGAAAAAGAGTGTCTTGCAGTTATATGGGCCATCAGCAAGTTTTGCCCATACTACTTCTACGGGAGATCGTTTCAAGGGATCATCATTCATTGTGTTGGCTGGCAAATATCAAGGACCCTTTATTGTGTAACCATTGCTATGCGCTGACGCACATTCTGTGAATAAAGAGTCCTCTCCCAGTTCTCGGCCTAGCATGACGCTCAATCTTTACAGCGCTGCGGCGCTAACGCGTCCATGGTCTTCGTCAGATAGTGCATCTGGCGGTGATACAACAGTTCTCCCTTTTCCACGAACCCCTACTTCTATTCAGGAATCCAGTGACTAAAATTAGCACTGGAGGTAGCCCTGGTGCAAATGACAAATTATAACGACCACAGCCATAAAACCCCGAGAAAGAAATATAATTGGACAACACTTGAAGGGGCCACCCTTGCTCGGTTGCATACCGAAATTCAAGATGACGACAGAAGAACCTTTAGGAAAAATGCACCTCTGTGCTTCAAATTGAATGTTTTAATGAATATGCATGCACATGCACTTATTGTTTTTATTTTATTAAACCAGGGTGTATCCTTGTGTGAAATTTTATGCTTTATGACAAGGG